ATTGCATGTACAGGTGCTGCCCTTTCACTGATATCACAACCCACTTGTCCTGCCAGCACAACAGAGGAAGAGACAAGTTTAAGACATCCTCTTTTCCTTTCTCATTCTTAATTTTTATCTTCAGACAGCAACAAAAGAAGGATTACTCATTCTGACTGACACACAGACCAAAGCTTTTCTGACAAGCTTAGACATGACTAGAGAATGGCTAGAGACAATTTGCACCTTATGCCATTCTGAGCTTCCTTACTCTGGAGATTGAGCAAAATGCAGGTCTGAAAGTGTGAGAGGAATTTTTTTTTTAAATTTCCTTTCCAGTATATGTATTACCTCCAACATCATGTGTCTGATTTCCACTGTGCATGTGGCTTGACCATACTGAAGTCTTCCAATGTCTATTTTTTTTGGAGCAAAGTCTACTCAGCCTCTACAGTCTTAACTGGACTTTGTGGCAGTTTGTCTCAGACCTGCACATGAAGACTTTGTTTAGTCATAACCTATCTCGCCTGGCTTCAGGTAAAAAAAAAAAAAGTCACACTGATAACTCTCTGCACCAGTGCCACACACGTTTCCAGGGATTTCAGCACTATTAAAATAGACAAGGTGCTTTCAACCATCTCGTACTTTCTGTTGATTTTATCCTTAATCCAGCTTTCTGTGCAGCTCAGCACCTATGTCAGTGTGCACTGGGATGCACCAGCTCTGCCTCTCACCTTCTGACCAACCGGAATCCATGGCCTTGGATTCACTGCTATTACAGGACCCTCTCCTTATCTCACCTCTTCCCATCACGCCATGTTGATAGCAGAACATCTGCCTGAGGATTAAAGACCAGTTCCGCCCTGAGGAGTGATTAGCAGAAGCATCCTAAATGCTCCTATTGTACTTCTCCTACTATAGGTGCAGCCACCCTTTCATGTCTACTCTTATTTAGCTAGCATAACCTCTCAGCAGGTAATCTTGTGTGTCTAGAAGATTGATTTCAAGAGCAGAGAGTCTGAGCCCTTGGTAACCCATAGCATATGTTGACATGATGCTCCTGGCACAATCCCACTTGATCAAGTAAACTGATTTCCAGGTAAGGCTTGGCAGGCAAATTTGTCTGGTCCCATAAATATGAATGCAAGTGCTGACAATTGGCCTAGCCCAAACGGAGATAAAAAGTATGCAAGTCTTCTAATATGTTAGGAACGTTTAGTGCAACTGACAGATTTACCTGGAATTTAGAAAAATGGGATTTGAGCACAGCCCCTCTTAAGATCAAAGTTTATGTGATTTTTTTTTTTCAGTTTTGATACAAAATGCAGAAACTGAAAAGAAATAATCAAATTCCTCTTCCAAAAAATGTAGGATGGTGTGTTCTGGCAGTTTTCTCCCTAGTTCCCCCCCCCCTCCAATCAGGAAATTCATAAACCTGATTGTTTCCCAAACATTTCATTCTGATAAATCTATATTTTTAATGAGAAAAACAAGCACATTTTCACTAAAAAATTTCTGTTCAGTTCTGTCTTTTATCTAGGTCAACAGGAATTCTACATAGGACCAGACTCTAACAGTGCTTGCTTTCAAATCAGCATTTTTAATTAAAAGATGTTTTCTGACTGAGCATTTAAATTGCTGTTGCTCATTTCATATTCTGAAGTTGGCATCCAGGATTTCTCACAAATGATTCTGCATCAGGATGAGGGTATCAGAGACCAGAATCATGGATAGGACAGAACAAATGACAGGAAGAAAGAAAAATCTGAAGCACTGTCACAAATATTCTGGAGTATGGAGACAACTGCTGCTCCTACAGGAGCAGAAAATGACATACCTTTTCCCCTGTTGTCCATACTTTATTACTGTGGCCCTTTCAATTTACATCTGTAAATTTCAAGTAGAGTTTTGGCAGCTTCCCAGATAGATGGTAATTTCAGTTCGTAGAATCAGAAGTACAGCCTCTCCTGTGCATCCTGAGTGGAGAAGGGCTGGGTAACAGAGTGACAACTCGCACCTTGGTAAGTGTTGCAAGAGTGCATTACACCCAGATGCTACCCTACCTTTTGTCACAAGTTTCAGCCCATGGCTGGAAGCCATTCATCATGTTCATACCTGGACAATGATAGAGTAAATCCCAGCGCAGTGATTTTTAGTCACAACAATCAAGAAACTATGTGGCTGAGGTAAATGAGAGACATAAGGGAGACAGTAATGGCTGATTTGGTGTTGGGGAATAGATAACACAGCAATCGGGACAGGCTTGAAGGAATTATGGATGGCTTCTTTATGCCTTTACAAACAGTGCCACTGCCTTTCAGTCCAGCACCAAGAGGACAGTGAGTGTCTCCATAAAAATAACCACATGACAACACACCACTGTGAACCCAAAACAAGCAAGGCTGAGTGTTCAAGTCAGGAAGAGGACTGAGTACAAAGTTAGAACAAACTATCCTTTTGCTCCTACAGATGGTCAAGCCTGTATGCCAAGGTTGTACTGCATTAACAATAAGCAAGGAGATATTTCTCTGTGTGCTGGGGTAGGGGGGTTAGCAGGCACTGTCACCATTTCCTCCCTCCCTCTGTGTAGGTGGAAAACAAATGTAGCTTTGAGAGGTGTCAAGCTGCAGCCCCTCCCCAGTGAGTTAAATTCAATCTAAGACACCTGAATTGCATTCCCACCTTTGTTTACATCTGGTTAAAATTTGATAAATTTGAACTGGTCTTCTGTGTTTTATGTTTTGTTTTCCCACAGAAAATAAACAAAACAAAATAAGCCATCAGAGCAATCTAACACCATTACATTGCAAGATTCAGTCAGTGGCCCAATGGCTGGAAAGGGAGTGGCGGCTCTTTGACAGGCACTGCCAGAAAGCCATCAGCTGGGATTCCAGAAGTGCAGCAGGCAGAGTAGAGTCTGCAGGGCAGAACTACATGAGCTGTTTGGGCTGCCCGTTGGGAAAAAATCACATTCCAAATGTAAATCTAAACAAGAAGCACTAATGTTGTGGGGGAGAGAGGATAGCAGCAAATGGTGGCTCTGGAAAAGGGCCACGTTTCCTGTTCTGCACAATACACCCAGGGCTTGAGTGTGCCCAGCAGATCCAAATCCTGTGTGATGCCAGGTACAGCTGCCCAAAGGACAAGAGAGCTGTGCTGGGGAGTGGAGCGGGACAACTACTGCTTCTAAGACTTAGAGAGAAAGAGAAAGAGAAAAGGTAGAGATTTTTGCTGGGATTCATTGACAAAATAAAGGTTCGGTTGAATATAATGAGTTCTCCCTGTCTCCTCACATTGTTGTCTATATTTGATTGCATCTCATCCTTCCCTGAAAATTAGCAGCAATTTAATAGAGGTCTGGAGCTTGGCTTTGCTGCGACAAGGCAATGATGAACATAGAAAGCACTCTGTTGTGCTCAAGTGGCGATTTGTAGGCAATGCAAACTAACCACCAACCCAGGGCAAGCTGTAAACAGTGGAACCCTAAACAGCCTGAAACACAGCAAGAGCAAAAATAATTACCGGTCTCTCTTCCCTTTCACCACAGGCTCAAATTTGCTTAAACATATCTTCTGTACACAACAAGGTTCAAGAGAATACTGATAACCTGCAGTATTTCTTCCTTCCTGATAAACAGAAAATACCAGTTGCACAGTATCTGCTGGATTTATCTAATGAGCACTCCATAATAAAATTAAGAGGTGTCAATTTAATCAATTGTGACTTTATTAAATTTAAGTGGTTCATATTGTTTGCCTTTCAAAGCCTGTCTCTTCTCATCAGAAGAGTTATTCTATTATATTATTTCCAAAGATGGAGTAGGAAAAATAAAGCCCATTTTAAATATCTGTGATGCTGCCCTAAAAATAAATAAATAAAATAACAATGTTTAAAGAAGACTAGATAAGTTCTGCCAAAATAAATAATAATATCTTGCTTTAAAGCAGTATTATCTCCTTTGGGTAGGAAGGAGTTACTTTGTGTAAGAACCCTTCTTTGAATACCTTACCACAACTACCCACTTTACATTTCCAGTTTACCAATCCATCATATCAGGACTTGTTGACTGAACCACTGGTGTCTGCTCTCCCCTTTACTTTCTTCATTGTTTTATTCAGTCACACACTTGCTTTGTAATACAAAGGTGCGAATGTGTCCATGCAAGTTAGGGAGAGATTCAGTTTCAATTTTGCTACTTCTTGTCCTGCACTGCCATAAAGAGGCTCCCCCCAACCCAAATTCTCAGTGCAGCTAATCTTGCAGAGAGAATATATGTCTGATGACGTCAGACAGACATGACATAGCATATACCTGTTTGTATACCTCCCTATCCCTGGCATGTTCACCTTGCCAATTTCAGATGCCCATCATCACTGGCATTGCCTTACCAAGAACACTGACCTCTGTGACACTGAGCACGGAACTGGCTACCTGCTGTCCCCCCACACCCCTCTCCCCCTTCCTTTCTCTATCTTTCTCTGTGGCTTCCATCTCTTCACATGACATTTGCCAAGGTCCTCACTCTTCTACTGTATGTTTTTATATACAGCAGAGCTGACCTGTCCTGCAAAGTTCTTCCTTAGCTTCACAGGATTTACTAAATTCCACCAAAAAGCTGAAATAACTTTTGCAGCTTTACACTATTTCTCAGTTTTTTCTGTATTAGAAAACAAACTACTATCCTTTCTTCCAAAGGTCTTTCCATCACTTTTTCTACAACATCATAAAAATATACCCTTTGGCATTTAAAAAAATATATATATATTCTTTTTGAACTGCCTTATCACAACAAGAGAGAAGCAGAAGCTGAACAGAGATTCATATCTCTACAGGAACATTCTTATCAAGACTGGCATTAACAGAAAGTTATACATTTCTCTAATGCTTTGAAAATGAATGGCAATATATTTTTTTGCCATCAAAGAGGCAATTATATAAAGAAGTTATCTGTATGTATCTGCATATATCTTGTATTATAGCTATATAGTTTATATACCATATAAGAAGAAAATAGCACTTACCTTTGAGAAGCAACATTTATCCCTGGTTCGGTAGAATAGTCTCAGACAGGCACTTAGACCTTTTTTCTATGCCATGCATTCTTTTTTTTTTTTCCAGAAGATTTAATCAGAAAAATCCTGATTGATCTCCAGCTAGCCAAAACGCAGAGTAGACTGTTTGGCAGATGCAGCCTGATTCAGTAAAGTCCAAGTGTGTGAATCCCTGAGACTCCTTGTTCAGTGGTATCCAAAGCAAAGGAAAAAAAAAAAAAAAGAAAGAAAAAAAAAAAAAAAGAAAAAAGAAAAAGGAAAGAAAGAGGAAAAAAAAAAAAAAGTGAATAACTTGTTCTTTTCTTGCTTGATTTAAAAAACCCAGTCCTGGAGGACTAAGCAGCCTGCCGGCTCTTCAAGCATCCTGATCCTAATGCATCCCAAGGTAACACATGCATTTTGATACCGCAAGTCTTCAAGTTCACACTAGCAAGCCCAGCTTCTGAGTATGTGCGTGCATACTGGGGAGGGGGGTTGACTCGTATGGCGAGGGGGAGAAGAGAGACAGGGAGATACACGCTCACGCAGAGACAGAAAAAGGAAAACCAGCAAACTGGAGTGATCTCACAAAGTGCTCTAGATGGCAGAGCCTGCACGGCTTGTAAGACAAGCAATATGTGCGCGCACACACACACACACACACACACACACACACACACACACACACAGACGAGAGAGGAGGAAAAAAAAAACCAACAATCCACGAGAGAACTAGCAGTCAGCTTCAGGAATTTTTTCTTACCTCTTCTCACGATGCAACATATGGCAAGTGTTTTGTGCTGCATAGGAATCCAGGCAGGCACAACTCTGTCAGTCCCCTCACTTCTGAAAGAAAATAATATGCAGCATAGGAAAGGGAAGAAAATCAGAAGCCAGGAGAAAGAAGCATATAAAAAGAAGCTATTAAACAAGTAAGAGTATCAGGGAGGAGGCTTGAGTGGGTAGGAAGCAAATAGTTGGTAGGGAAAAAGGCATCCAAACTCCTGGTCCTAACACAGATCGGCTCTGTAATTATGTGGCAAAGCACTGCCTCCTAAGCCATTGCGTAATAATAGAAACCTAAGCTGTGTAGACACAGCCTGACACGCTAAATCCTCAGGAACTACACTCAACATTTGCCAGTGGAAAGCATGTCAGTTCTCAGGGGGCAGGGGAAGCTGGGGGAAAAGGGGAGAGCAATTTTACTGCAAAATGCATGAGCTGCAGCTGCAAAGAACTCTCAGGTGGTGCCCATGCCCAGAGATGTTACACAGGAAATATATAGCTGTGTCTATACAGGGAGAGGTAAACAAATAGAGTAACCCTGTCAGCTCCATTCATGCTATTTAGTACTAGGAGAATTCTCCCTTGTTTTATTAACTCAGATAACAGAGAAGAACATGTACAAATGTTCTTTGTGTTAAATATTAAGAATTCTTTTGCTAGTGGTAAGAAATAGTTCTCTCTTTGTACTGAATGATACTGGAAGTTCTGAATAAAACCAAAATTAAGATAAAAGTTCTCAGGAGGTTTGATTATTCCTTCACATCTACTGTCAGTTCCTCCCTCTGACCCGCCAGGCAGACATGTATATTTTTTTTCTGCTTCTCCTGGCTGAAGTGGCTCCTAGAGGGAATCAGGGGAAAGATCAGCCTTCACTAAACAAGGGCAAGGAAAAAATTATTCATGCTACCACATGCTAGTATAAGTACACCAATAAACAGACCAATTCATATTGCCTGTGGAAAAAAAAAAATTAGAACCCAAGAAAGATGTATAATTCTGCAGGAAATTTACCTGTCAGTTGTAACCCTTGCTTACACCTATGGTCCATTTACTCCACTATCTTGCCTCCAGACACTGATTGTATCACACACCTCTAAAAATCCTGGACAAACTCGCGCAGCCAGGTACAGCCACAGCTAACCTGTCCATGGACAAGCTTTTCCTTAATCCTTCTTTAAAGATTAGTTAATGCACTGCAGCATGAGAAGAGGACAGTCTGCCTCTGCACATCCAGCTTAAACACGTAAGGCCTGATTCTGAGGTCCTTAATGGTTAGCATAAAGTGTACCTTTCTTTGGACACCCTTGATCTAAAAAGTAAAATCTGTTTTGTAAACACTTCACATGAGAAAAGGACATTAGTCCAGAATAAGCTGTAGCATTTCAGTTTGGAGAGTGAGAAATTTGTAGCATACCAGTTTAGCCTGGTTACTCTTCTGGTTACTCTCTACTCGTTAGTCCTTGGAGAAACATTGGATATATTTTAAGAAAACATCCAGCACAGCTGGGAAAATCAGGTCACTCAACCAACAAATAGGTATCAAATCTGGCTTCTAGAAAGCCAAGGCAAGCTGTACTGAAAACTTTGAAGATATTTTTGAGAAAGACTGCATAAAAAACACACTTTTTTGGAGGGGTTCATGAAAAAGATTCTATATGCTACAAAATTCATAGTCCTTTCTGTAACCAGTGTTGCAACCTTGCTCTCTGCCTGCTGCATCCTCCAGTGACTTCTACCTGCAAATGAATGCCACAGACGTCACATGTAAGGGAGCTACATCATTGTAAAACAGAGGAGGAAGGACTATGGACAAAGCAACCATCTGCCTATTTAGAAGCATATCCCATTTTTCTTGATTTTATAAGGAACAGTGCTGAATGGTTCCTCCCAGAAAGAAGACTAAGGGTTAAAGTAGTAGGAAATTTTTTGGGCACTAAAAAGATGATCTGTTCAAAAAACTTGAGAAACTGATAGTTTTTGAACTTGATAGGAAAAAATACTAAAAAAAGAACCACATCATTTGGTAGATTATTAAAATGTGAGTTGGGGAAGCTAACTGTATTCATAGCTCCTGGGAATCTCTAGGTGAAGCATTTTGGCTAGAAAATCAAATCAAAGCTCCAGTCATGTCAGTGCCTTATAAAAATAAACGTCAGTACAACTCAGACAGAGAAGACGTTTCTTAATTACATCAGGAATTAATAATAGACTCTGGGACTAGTGTTTCTGCATCTAATTTGAAAGCAAAGTATTGCTTGCAATAGCAGAAATCAATGAATTCCATCAATGCTCTCCAAAAATCTTCCAAGAAGCTTAACTTTGTCAGCATTGATTCCAAATGGAAAATACAAATATGACATAACTCTGGCAAAAAGTCTCCCAGAAGAGACTTTCATGAGGCTTGGTGTAGTGAGTTCCAATGTACATTCTTCAGCTTTCCTTGATGTCCTTCAGTCTTAAGTTAGAGCTCTCTGGGGTTCACCCTGTAGGTTCTTTTCTTCACTACCTGTCCCAGATTAATATTTCTTTTTAGTAAGGAACTTCTCTGTGAATTCTACCTCTCTTTTTCATGACCATTCTCCAGAGAAGGGATAGACCACTTCCATACCTCTCTTTCACTCAGGTCTCTCCTCTCTCTAATCCTTCCTTAGTTCACAGTCAGCCAACACAGCTGCTTTAGCAACTTCTACTTTATTTTCACCTCCAGGGCAACATCCTCACCATACAAAGAGCTGCAGAAAAAAATCTTACTTTATCTACACGCTGATCATCTTACTGGCCTACAATACACTTCTGGAAAGAACTGTCAAGGTTCAATGCCCTGTTCCTCTCTTAGATCTAGAAAATATAAGGGAGATCGTGACTACAGATGACTAACTCCTCGCTCACTGAACCTTTAAAACTGCTACATTTCTGAGCCCCAAAAGGGTAAATTTTATATGGAATTATCCTTAAAAACAAATGCCTTAAAAACAAATTTATATGTAAGTTCATATATGGACAAGAAACCAATCAAAAGAAAGAGCTTTACAAATATCTCCTGAGGGCAAACTCTCACTGGACATGCAGTGCCAAACATGGTACCCAAACCCAATAAACATTTAAATTAGGATAGTAGAGAAAGAGAAAAAGAAAGTGAGATGTTTTTGCAATCATAATGACAACTTCATCTACTACAGACTTAATTCTCCTGAGTCTAGCAGACACTATATTTTAAAGCCTTTGGCCCCCATGAATGACAATGCAATGCAGCATGTATATTATAGACACCAGAAATTGCCACTTCCTCCACCTTCTTCTAAACTGAAGTAGTCAGCACCAGTCCACATGACTGTTTAATCAATGGCTGCCAATCAATTACAATGATTGAAGGACAGATTAAAAAACATTTGGTCTGTGGCTATGCTAATGAAAACTGTTGTTAGGAGTTGAACCTACCAGCTTTAAAACATTGGAAATTTGGGGAGAAATTGTATATTTCTTGCATATTGTTCAGTTCCGCTCCTTGCGGATCACTGAATGGCTGTTTACACACACACATGCCAGTACAAAATATCCTTCTCACATCCTCCACCCACACATCTTTCTGCTTTTAAAAGCAGCTCCAGCCAACAGATAAACTGAATGTGTCTTCTTTCTGTTTCCTGCATCTTACAATGGGGAAATCCTCTTCTCAAATTTCTAGACCCTGAGATCCAACAGAAAGCAAACATCATTTGAGACTAACGGTGAGATCAAGACAGCACAGAAGCTTTCTGTCTTGCAACACACTGTTGTAAAAAGCATAGGCCAAAATCATACAGGAAATAAGATGATGAACTTCTTAAAAATACGTCAACAATTCCACAACTTTTCTTTGTCCATACCATAGTTGCACGAAGAAGGGTTTCAAAAAACCAGGAAAGAGCTGTTTTAGGCCAAAAATTCAATTATAGATTCATAATCTACTCCACTTTAAGCACTCATCTCAGCTGAAACAGCCAGGATAACTTGTCAACCTTAAGGGGATTCAAAGTAACTTTGAAGATGCTTTAAAAGAAGGACAGTACAATATTTTTGCCCTGGGTTTATTATTTTTTCCAAGTTCTCCCTTTACAAGCAGGGTAATCCTTGTACTTCTGTTTCACATAATCACATGTCCAGCTCAGTGAATGAAATTTAATGCCCTTTGATTGATAGGTTAAGGCCAGAAAAGATAATTGCGGCCATCTCATTTGCCCTTCCACATAACCTCACTTACAGAATTCCACTCCGTGGTTCCTGCATCAATCTTCATACTATTGGCTGATACAGAAAATATCTTTTACAAAGCTGGCCTCTTGATTTAAAGATTTTAAGTGATGGAGCATTCATTTCCCACTCTCTTTGTAAGTTATTCCCATCTTTAATTGCTGCCATTGTGAAAAAAAGTCTGTACCTCATTTTGTTAGTTAGAAGATTCTGGTATTTTACCAAAAGTCTAGAGTGATAATTATGAGTTATAGCTGGTATCTCTTGATCAGAAAACACAAAATGAGGAATAGCAGAAGTTTCTCTCAGATAAGTGGATTTATTACACTGGGGACTAAAGAGTGCTGTTTGAGACCAGTACGATCTATTTACTCCACAAACAAACAAACAAACTTCTCGTTTCATGGCCATCTGCTTCAGCACAGCGTTCATCAGAATAAAGAGATTCAGTTGGCAATGCTTCCACAGTTCTTGTAATTTGATGGAAGGTACAGCATTAGCTTTCAGAGTACATCTGGAGGTAGCGTACTCTGCTGCCTGCCTATCAGGAAGCAGGACCTCATCCTGGTGGGTTTGCAACCTCTAGTTTTCATCCTTTCCGTGCACAGAACACTCTCAGCTGCCACAGAAATCCATGGGGGGAGCAGATGCTCCATGTACAGTCAGTGCAAGGAAGACATGGCACAAGACGAATGTGGATAAGAGCCTTGATTTTACATTTTGACCCCTGACACACACAATAACCGACACTAACCTTTTCACTGCTGAAAAAGGATACCTGGGCTTGTTATGCAGCAGGGGGCCCCTGTTAGGAGAGGATGCTGTTC